TGCTCAAACTATTTAAACCAGATTTGATGCTTCAAATTAATGGAAGAGTTTGAGTTGGAAGGCACATCTGAAGGCCTGCAAAGTCCAGCTCCAAAGTGTGATCAGGTCTTGGCCTCAAGGCCTTGCTCAGGCAAGATTTTTACAACTGCAGGGTTGGAGTTTCCACATTCTCTCTGGGCAACCTATTCCAGAGCATGACTTAATTGGCATCTTATTTTAGAGATTAAAAAATTTTAATTACCAACAATTTTCCTTTATTTCTACCTACGCATTTTATAAGTTTCTAGCACTACTGGAAAAGAAAAAGAAAAAGGTGGTGATAAAACTATCATGATGTCATGGATAAGTGTGAAAAGCTTAAGTACACATCAGAACACCCATATTTATTAATTTCATTTCAACATGCTATTATATCAGTGGCCTACACTGATCTTTACCATGCCTTTTACTTGCTTCAAATGTCAGATACTACACTGCAAGGAATTTGGTTTATTTGGTTTGACAGACACTGGAAAAAAACTCAGCAAATGGACAGCTGACTATTTGCAAAGACTAAAAAAGCCTCCCATCTTTCTCTGATTGAAAGTTTCTCTGATGACCAAAGTTTAGGAGGGTAATACAAACAATTTCTCTGACAGTGACCTAGTAAAACATACAAGTCTGCTGTGAGATATTGCTCCCAATAATGTGGTCAGCACACAACTTGAAATGTCCCTTCAGTAACCACATGCCCAGATGCCAAACCAGTTTTTATACTCTGGGTTCTCTTAGAATTGTCCTGCTCAATTAAAAAAAAAAATAAGGACACTAAAGAGGTAAGTTCCTAAAAGTGGGCAGGGCATAAAGCTGGAAGCTGGCAATGACACCAACTTGGGCAGAACAGTGGGTGTCCCATCCCCTGCAGAGTAAAGCACCTTGAAGAGGAAGCAGATATACATTTTTCCTGGTTGCTACAGAGAAGGGTAGAAAAGAAAATGGCCTCATCTCCTGCCCTTAGAAGACTCTGGCATAAAGAGATTATTAGCCCTTAAAATTAAAGGAAGGCATTTGATGTATGGTGGTTCATGTTTTGAAAGTGAGAATATATCTAAGATTCTTATTTCTTTTGAATTGTCCAAAACTAATCACTGCTTTCCAAATTTTGATAGTCACCATCCCTGGATGTGTTTAAAAAAAGACTGGATGTGGCAATCAGTGCCATGGTTTTATTGAGGTGTTGGGGCATGTGTGAGATTCGATGATCTTGAAGGCCTCTTCCAACCTAGTGATTCTGTGATCTTCTAACTGCTTCTGTGCTATTGGTAATGCAAATGGACTGCCAAAGCCCTCATGAACATTCTCAATCTTTTTTCCCCTGTCTCTTCTTTAAGAGCTTAATATTCTTACTTTATTTTACACTGATTTTTCAAGAGCCTTTAGCTCATTCCCTTGGCAATAGTGCTCACATTTGGCCAACAATCAACATACATTGACACAGAACTGCTTTCAAACCAGAGAGGGCTTACCAGGCTGAAGGAATGGCCATGTGGTTGAATTTCCTGGTTTTCCAGCCAATTTCCATGACTAGAATATTGCAAACTGGTCGCTTCTCCTCCTGCTTACCCTCCTCCATATCTAAGATAAAAGAAGAGCACACATCATTTTCTCCTGATTATAGCAGGACTGTTGTTTCTCTGGGGGTTAAATACTTGGGTGCTTTGAATTCCTTTAGTCAGAAAATGAAAACTTCATTCCTTTAAAGCTTGTGGATATGTTAGATTTTCTGACTATAAACCTGTCAGGTGCAGACTTATCCAGACAGGAGTGACTAAGAAGCTGTTCTTTATTCTCTTCTACATGCTGTATTATTTAGCACAAATAAAAAGACAAGTGACCACACAGTAGGTCTGCAAGCTGAACTAATGTGCTTCACTGCCTCTAATCTCCCCAATTACTTCTGATTTTCAGTCAAGAACCATGACTGATTTTATAACTCAAATAACATTTTATTTTCTTTAGCTCTTATATAACTGTGGTTATTTATTCTTTGCTACTTGAGAGTCATTTTTCAGTAAAATCAAAAGAGCAAACTGAACATATTGCCAGTAATCCAGTGCAAAAAATCATAGCATTCATTTAATGAGAGCTCTGCTATTCATTTGGCAAATGAGAGAGTGGAGTGGCACTGACATTATGTAGAGCAGGGACCAGTCTTAGATGAAGTGGCAAAGAGCAGCTTAATGTAACTCACTGATAAAACTGCCACTGATCTTGCTCCCTATCTGGGATTCCAAGAGAAAATGATGGAAAAGACATTCTGTGCCATTAATGATAACTGAGTAAAATGTGCCAATGAGAGATAATAATACACCTACATGACACAGACCATTAAGCAGCCAGTTACAACAGTCTCAAATAACACAAACAAATGAAAAAAACACTTATGGTCAAACCCTGGTCTTATTATGCTGTTGAATGGTTTTCAGAATGATTAATATGACCTGGAACTTATAATTCAAAAATGTAAACTACTGCCCTGTTTTCCCGAGTTAATAATTATTTAATCCAGCAATGTCAAGATGTGCAGCAGTAACAAGCAGAACTGTGCTGAAGGAAAGGCTTTTGGCTGTAATTCCATGTGCAGAAATAAACAGAAAGACTTTGACCCCAAGAAAAGCTACTGTCAGTGTCTTCTTCAAGGTATGTAAAAAAAATGTGCTTTGAGGTTAAAAGCAAAGATTGAAAATTGAAAAGCATAAGAGTGAGAAATATACATAGCATCCTATTCATCCTCTTCCCACGGCACTGGAGAGGTGTGTGGATATTTTTTTGCTCTGTTTTTGATTTCTTCTCTAAATAACAAGTACACCACACTGTGAAATATGGAGTGCACTTCTCCTTTTTGCACACATNTGTTTTTCAGCTGTCTGCCAGGGTCTAGAATGCTTCTGACCAAGGCCTGGAACCTCTAAAAATGTCTGAGAGACATTTTGAGTTCCCACACTTTTGTACATTCCTTTCTAGAAAGGATAATGATTTTTGAATTTAAAATTGCAGTACAGAGCATTCTGCAACAAATTGTGGACTACAAGACGTCTCCTAAAAAAATACTTTATCATCAAAATAAAATAAAAGTTTATATTCCTTCCTTATACATGTAAATGAGGCTAATATAAGCCTGGCAGGGAAAAAATTAAAATAAAGTATTATCTTACATGTAATACAGGCTTACCATAAAGATTTTCCATATTGTTTTCCAAATCCCTATCAATATACACAGAAATAAGCATCTTTTGATCATGGTGCTTGTCAGCCATCTGTCTAACTGCCACCTGTTCAACAACAGCTTAAACACAGCCCCATTTCTCAGATGCTTCTACAAAGACCTCAGAAAATGAGAAACTCAGAAAGGAAGCATTGCTCAAACTATTTAAACCAGATTTGATGCTTCAAATTAATGGAAGAGTTTGAGTTGGAAGGCACATCTGAAGGCCTGCAAAGTCCAGCTCCAAAGTGTGATCAGGTCTTGGCCTCAAGGCCTTGCTCAGGCAAGATTTTTACAACTGCAGGGTTGGAGTTTCCACATTCTCTCTGGGCAACCTATTCCAGAGCATGACTTAATTGGCATCTTATTTTAGAGATTAAAAAATTTTAATTACCAACAATTTTCCTTTATTTCTACCTACGCATTTTATAAGTTTCTAGCACTACTGGAAAAGAAAAAGAAAAAGGTGGTGATAAAACTATCATGATGTCATGGATAAGTGTGAAAAGCTTAAGTACACATCAGAACACCCATATTTATTAATTTCATTTCAACATGCTATTATATCAGTGGCCTACACTGATCTTTACCATGCCTTTTACTTGCTTCAAATGTCAGATACTACACTGCAAGGAATTTGGTTTATTTGGTTTGACAGACACTGGAAAAAAACTCAGCAAATGGACAGCTGACTATTTGCAAAGACTAAAAAAGCCTCCCATCTTTCTCTGATTGAAAGTTTCTCTGATGACCAAAGTTTAGGAGGGTAATACAAACAATTTCTCTGACAGTGACCTAGTAAAACATACAAGTCTGCTGTGAGATATTGCTCCCAATAATGTGGTCAGCACACAACTTGAAATGTCCCTTCAGTAACCACATGCCCAGATGCCAAACCAGTTTTTATACTCTGGGTTCTCTTAGAATTGTCCTGCTCAATTAAAAAAAAAAATAAGGACACTAAAGAGGTAAGTTCCTAAAAGTGGGCAGGGCATAAAGCTGGAAGCTGGCAATGACACCAACTTGGGCAGAACAGTGGGTGTCCCATCCCCTGCAGAGTAAAGCACCTTGAAGAGGAAGCAGATATACATTTTTCCTGGTTGCTACAGAGAAGGGTAGAAAAGAAAATGGCCTCATCTCCTGCCCTTAGAAGACTCTGGCATAAAGAGATTATTAGCCCTTAAAATTAAAGGAAGGCATTTGATGTATGGTGGTTCATGTTTTGAAAGTGAGAATATATCTAAGATTCTTATTTCTTTTGAATTGTCCAAAACTAATCACTGCTTTCCAAATTTTGATAGTCACCATCCCTGGATGTGTTTAAAAAAAGACTGGATGTGGCAATCAGTGCCATGGTTTTATTGAGGTGTTGGGGCATGTGTGAGATTCGATGATCTTGAAGGCCTCTTCCAACCTAGTGATTCTGTGATCTTCTAACTGCTTCTGTGCTATTGGTAATGCAAATGGACTGCCAAAGCCCTCATGAACATTCTCAATCTTTTTTCCCCTGTCTCTTCTTTAAGAGCTTAATATTCTTACTTTATTTTACACTGATTTTTCAAGAGCCTTTAGCTCATTCCCTTGGCAATAGTGCTCACATTTGGCCAACAATCAACATACATTGACACAGAACTGCTTTCAAACCAGAGAGGGCTTACCAGGCTGAAGGAATGGCCATGTGGTTGAATTTCCTGGTTTTCCAGCCAATTTCCATGACTAGAATATTGCAAACTGGTCGCTTCTCCTCCTGCTTACCCTCCTCCATATCTAAGATAAAAGAAGAGCACACATCATTTTCTCCTGATTATAGCAGGACTGTTGTTTCTCTGGGGGTTAAATACTTGGGTGCTTTGAATTCCTTTAGTCAGAAAATGAAAACTTCATTCCTTTAAAGCTTGTGGATATGTTAGATTTTCTGACTATAAACCTGTCAGGTGCAGACTTATCCAGACAGGAGTGACTAAGAAGCTGTTCTTTATTCTCTTCTACATGCTGTATTATTTAGCACAAATAAAAAGACAAGTGACCACACAGTAGGTCTGCAAGCTGAACTAATGTGCTTCACTGCCTCTAATCTCCCCAATTACTTCTGATTTTCAGTCAAGAACCATGACTGATTTTATAACTCAAATAACATTTTATTTTCTTTAGCTCTTATATAACTGTGGTTATTTATTCTTTGCTACTTGAGAGTCATTTTTCAGTAAAATCAAAAGAGCAAACTGAACATATTGCCAGTAATCCAGTGCAAAAAATCATAGCATTCATTTAATGAGAGCTCTGCTATTCATTTGGCAAATGAGAGAGTGGAGTGGCACTGACATTATGTAGAGCAGGGACCAGTCTTAGATGAAGTGGCAAAGAGCAGCTTAATGTAACTCACTGATAAAACTGCCACTGATCTTGCTCCCTATCTGGGATTCCAAGAGAAAATGATGGAAAAGACATTCTGTGCCATTAATGATAACTGAGTAAAATGTGCCAATGAGAGATAATAATACACCTACATGACACAGACCATTAAGCAGCCAGTTACAACAGTCTCAAATAACACAAACAAATGAAAAAAACACTTATGGTCAAACCCTGGTCTTATTATGCTGTTGAATGGTTTTCAGAATGATTAATATGACCTGGAACTTATAATTCAAAAATGTAAACTACTGCCCTGTTTTCCCGAGTTAATAATTATTTAATCCAGCAATGTCAAGATGTGCAGCAGTAACAAGCAGAACTGTGCTGAAGGAAAGGCTTTTGGCTGTAATTCCATGTGCAGAAATAAACAGAAAGACTTTGACCCCAAGAAAAGCTACTGTCAGTGTCTTCTTCAAGGTATGTAAAAAAAATGTGCTTTGAGGTTAAAAGCAAAGATTGAAAATTGAAAAGCATAAGAGTGAGAAATATACATAGCATCCTATTCATCCTCTTCCCACGGCACTGGAGAGGTGTGTGGATATTTTTTTGCTCTGTTTTTGATTTCTTCTCTAAATAACAAGTACACCACACTGTGAAATATGGAGTGCACTTCTCCTTTTTGCACACATAGGACTGATGCAAGATCTGGCTGAAAGAATTAGAGGTACCACTCCCTGGTACTGGTTTTAAAGGTACTAGTTACCTTTCTTATGTCTTTATGGGAACTTCAGATTCAGTCACAGGAAGGGAAAAGACAAAGGGTTCTTGAAAACATCCTTGAAGGCATGTGATGGCCACTTACATATGCAAACCCAAGTGAGAGCTGTGTGCAGCACAATTATTGAATCCTCACATGTTATACCTTTTATAGAGTCTCAGATGAGAGTGTTGGCAGGAGCACAGGAGCCTTCTGTGAGGACACCGTCCTCCTCCTCCTCCTCCCGCCACCTGCCCTGCCTTGGCCAAAGGACACTGCTGCTCCCTTACACAGGAAAGGTTACAGCTCCTGCCAGTCTCCTTGCAGGGCTGGGAGCATCAGGTCAGTTACCCTGGATTGGTTTCAGCATCCAGAGAAATGAAGGCCATACAAGCTGACACTACCAAAACTATATGGATCTAACAGCTCTGGAATACTGGGGACTGAGGGTCACAAAGACCCGAGCTAATACAGTAACAAAACAATAACAATCCCCTAATTAAATGAAATTATATTCTTCCAAGGATTTTAAACATCACTGAAAATATGTTTAATCTTGCCCTATAATATTTTTAGATTTCTTTTTTGCATAACTCTGTTTATACTAATTAATAGCCAAAAATCTTCTCGCAGCAGACACAATTTATAAACCAAAAGTATGGATAACTAAATGCCCAATTGAAATATTTCCTGCACTGTAATTTAGTGCCACAGTTTTCAAACATAGTTTAATTTCAACACTTAGTATTTTTTCTTGTGAGTAATGATTAAAGGTTTTTATTAGGAAGCCTAGATCTTATTTCATGTCAAAGCAGATCAGGCACTGTAATGCAATGTTGTTTCTTTAAGAAAAGTAAAAAAATTCTAAGCCTTTAAAAAGCACTTTACTGGTTACCTTTTAATTAGGAAAAAAAAAAACTGGAATCAGAGCAATATAAAATTCTGCATTAATTTCTGAATAAGAAAAGTAGTTTTGCAAAAGTATTGAAGCAAGCTAGATTGGTGAATGTCCAGATTCTGGAATAAAGCAACTAGAGAACAAATCTGGTACATGTTTCCTAAAACAAGGAGATAAAATTCAGATATCTTTTACTGTGCAGATCTCTACAAAGCATAACATACTAGCTTCCCACTTTCCCCTTTTTCAAGTAATCTGTTAAGTGAGAGGCACTAAACAACTGTCTTCTTCCACTGTGATGTCATCTACTTAGCTTGGTTTAGTTCAAGTGCATCTTTATCATTCTACTTAAATTCAGTTGCCCTGGTTTTTTCTCTTGACTTGCTGCATTTTATTTTTTTTGCTTTTTCAGTCTGGTTGTAGATTCTCTTGGGCAAAGACCAGTTGTTAATATGCACAGCTTCTCTCGCTGTAATCAGGACTTTTGAAAGGTTGTTACTAATGTTCTTGGAGAACTAGCACTAACCATGAATAAACAGGAAGCTTACACCTTGGCTATTAGAACACATCCTTTTGTTTTCCTCTTTTTGTGCATCATTCATAGACTAGTGAGAAAATAAAACCTTGGGCATATATACACCATCTAACCCAAAATGGTGTTCAAACATCCTGTCCTTTGATTAAAATGGGTATTTTTTCTTAATGTTGTGTTCATATCACTGCATTCTGCGACAAAAAAAATGAACTCAGCTTGCTTATCTACTTGTCCCTTTCAGGGACACATCTCATTAGGAGCCTTTTCGGTGCAGTGTACCCTTTCACAATCCCTCCAAGAAAATGTAAAAATTATCTGATACTGTAGCTTTTGCACTGTCTCAAAAATCAGTACTAGGATTCCCAATATCACCTGACACGGAAGTAAATCCTTTTATTGTGCCAAGTATTTTATGAATTATTAATTGGTCCATTAGACTTTTGCCTGCAATGGGAATAAATTAGAAAAAAGGACAAAAGTATTTGTAAAGGTGAAACTTCAAGTGGTCCTGCCTGCTAAGCCAAATTCTTAGAGCTGCATTTGTGTTTACAATAAAACCTCTCTGCTAGTTTTAGGTTTGAAAGTTTATGGTATTACCACAATGCATAGTTCAATGAAGGAATTCAAACAGCAAGAGGAAGAAGATGGTACACACATTTTGATGAAGCATAGCTGCAGTGTCTAAAGATATCTCTGCAAAATGCTGTTAATGGCTTACTGAATTGATCTGTTCAATTTGTGCTATTTAATGAAGCAGAGCACCTGACACTTTATCACAAGCTTGTACTGGTTAAAAGTGTTTAGCTAAATGTCTGTATTGCTAATGGTGTTTCCATGCCATATTTCTCTTTGCAGATCTGCAAAAATAATAGTATGGATAAATTCTAGGTATTTCAGACTTTGGAAAGCACACTTTGGGAGCCAAAAGGCAGACTAGTGAAGAAAAGGCTAAGCAGCTTCATAATACAAAGAGTGTGAGTAGCAAATAATTGTGCCATAATTAAAGAAAATAAAACATGTTATCATACTTTTAGGTGGAAAAAGCTGGAAGCTAATCACGGCTTGCTGCAATAGTTCCAGTGCTCTCATGTAGTATAAATCTAGCAAAATAGAAATAAAGACTACAGTTCCAGAAAAACATTTAGGTGTTCAGATGGAGAACATTGCTTTATTCTACTAATCAATTTTTAAAATTTAGATAGACCTTTAACAGTCTTGTAAAATGCATTTATCAGTTCAGTGTTCACTAGATTGTATTCATCTTTAATAAGATCCATACATTATGTTTATAAAAAGAAAATTAACTTTCTCTGTTCTTGGTGGCAATGAATAAAAAAAATTGTAGGAACAGAACACATTTTGTACAATTAATAATCTGAAGCTGGCATTGGACTGTTGACACAATTAGAAAGATCTCTTAAAAATTCTCAGAAACTTGTTTGCCCAGCTGTATTCTGTGTCCTCTGGAGTTCTAAGCAGTTTAATTTGCAAATGAATCAAGAAAGCCAAGGCCAAAATCACATTTCACTAAACATAACACATTGTGAATCATGTGTTCATCATGTGGGCTGATTCTTGGTTTATTTCTTCTGTATAAAATATACCTTGAGATTTTCTGGTTTAATTTGGACAAACTTTTAATTATTATTAGCAAAATAGACATGGTATAAAAGTTCAAGGTTAGCCTAGTATATGATCCCACTCAAATGGCAAAGAAGTAATTACCTTATCACCATCCAGAGCCAAACAGCACCACAGACTCAATGGCAAAGATAACCTTGGAATTCAAATTTCTGGCCAAAAACTGAGCTAGTTAGGGTCCAGATCTGATCTTGTCCACTGTAATCCTAAACCAATGGATTCAGGTCCAAATTTTGGCACAGTCCTGTTAAACTGCTTCCTCACCAATTGTGTAACAATTCTTGAGCCTCATTAAAAGACTTCTATAGATAAAAATACAGAAAAGAGCAACTTTGTCAGTAATTTAAATGGGAATAAAACCATTACCAAAATACCGGACCTGACGTCTTGTCCATCCAGATGAGAGTAGGATAATCTATTACTGTATGGATGGGAGGTACTTAATACAATGGAACTTCTAATTTTTGTTGAGAGGCTATATACTCTTTTAATATATATAAAATTAAAAGGTTCAGGGAGAAAAAATGCTGAAGTACAGAAGATACAAGATAAAAAGCTACACCAGCAATTTCTAACCACCCTGCATAAACAAAACACAAACTTTTCTAACAACTCCACTGCCCTGCCCTAGTAGATAATATGCAGAGTTAGGAATGATTCTATTAATCAATTAATTATTCTATCAATTATTATTATAATATCAATTAATGATTCTATTAGGTAGTGTGAACAATAAATTGTATTTGTTAAGAAAGACAGAAATATAACTAGTTTTATCAAAGCCCTCACAAGTATAATTTTCTGGAAAAATTTAGGCGTCTTTTTTCTGCAGCAGGGAAAGAGAACAGAAAATCTTTGACATTCCAATGCAATTTTCAAATTAAAAAAATAAAACCACCTCGTTACTAGATAGGAGAAATATTCATTTGTATTTACAGACATGTTTGCTTTCCTAAATGATCCCCAAATACTAAGTATTACTTTTCATTTACAAAATTGAAAGTCAGGTACAGGGCACTTTTTCCCAAACAGATGGTACAGTACCTGGAGACTGAATTCCCACTAGGTGGTAACAAACACATGCAAGTCACGAGAGTCAATAAGTCTCAAAAAGTAAGGCAACATGCTCCACTTTGTTCAGAAGCAAGTCAGTATGACACTATTACCTGAAAAATGCCCAACTGACTTTAATTTGAAGAAATATTTTGTTACAAATCTTTTCCTGATCTATAATTGCCATAACCCTAACCATGTCTTCTGCTTTCCTTTTAAGCCCCACTTCATCTGTGTGCTGGCTCTCCAGCCCCCCAGATTAAAGCTCTCACTCCTCAATTTCTGTCTCTTGCTGCTGCTGAAAATTCACAGTAGATTCTAATTCCCTTAGCATATGAAAGTGAAGTGTTCCTAAAGTAATAATCCTGTTCATATATTGCTCCGAGCTGGTGAAGCAGTGCTTGCTGTTATTCAAAGGACAGCAACAAAAACAAGGAGCCTGGCTCAGCATATTGGTTTTTTTCTGCACAGGGAATGTACCTAGAATTATTCTGGTTTTCTGAGCTCCCTGTCAGCAGCTTTCATTACAGAGCAAACTTGACAACTCATTGTATTTAAGGAATTTTACTTCAGGATTTCTGCTGTTTTTGGTGTCTGCATAATTTACTCACAGATAAAATTCAGTATTATCTTCATGTTAAAATACATTTTAGCTATTGCATCTAAGAAGTTCTATTTTATATGGTCATCCAGGCCAGTCACAGCCAAGCTGAAAAGATTTTCAGTGGCAACATTCCCTCACCTTTCCAGTTTTCTTTTGTTTCTTTCTTTGTTTGTTTTTGTTTTGTTGGTTTTTTGTGGGTTTTGTGGGGTTTTTTTTGGTTTTATTTTCTTTTTTTTTGAGGAATTCTAAAATCTTCAGTCTGGAGTAAGAAAAGGACAGGAAAAAGTTATTTCCCTCAACTAGAAAGGGCATCATGCTTAAAACACTAATTCCTGAAATGCTCAGTTCCCAAGATGCCCATCTTGAGGAACTGAAGCACTAGCACAGAATGATACACTGTAAGAGTGGCATTACTTAGCCCAAGTTAAACAGAGAAGTAACCCTATTTCTTCCCTTAAGCACCAAACAAGGGAAAACCACCACTTAATCTTTGGCATTTGCTATTTACCTTGTAAATCATGGCTCAGCAGGGACCCTTGCTGCTTCTCCCCTGTAAATGTAACTTGGCTGGAACAGAATGGGCTCATGGTTGTCTTCTCTCTATAAACCTGGTATAAAAGGACTAAAAAATACTGAAGTTTTTATAAATAAAGATCCTGAAGAACATTGACTAAATAAAATGGAATTTAAAAAACACAATAAGTTAAAACACCTTCCCTTTGAAGTAATTGATAAAGTTTTTGCCTTTACATTTCACATGGAGTAGATTTCAGAACTGAAACAAGATATTGGAAACTAATTCAATTGCTCTACCTCTTGTATGAAATATAATAAGAAATATTCAGTTAGTCCTGCTCCTATCAGGGGCACTGTGTAGCTATTTCTTAGCCATTTTGTATGCACCTGTACTCACCAAACCAACATGTATTTTACACTTGACAGCTACTGCCATTCCTAATCCATAATCCCATGCTGTTGCCAAGGGTAGCCAAAGGTCTGTTTTCTCAATGAGCAGCTTTTGCACATTTTTACAGATACCAGTAGCCTTTTTCTCCCACTAGGAATAATAAAAAAAAAAAAAAAAAAAAAAAAAAAAAAAG